CGAATTTCATTTGTAAATCTAACTGGAGTGTTATACTTGCTAAAATTTGCCAATATTTCATGGAAATTAGGTGAAAATTCTCGATTATTTTTTAATTACATTAAGTGGAAACGGAATATGAGAGAATATACAGTTAGCTCTATCACAACAGACAGAGCTCTTGTGTTGTATCGCAAATATAACATAATAAAGTTCATATTATGAAGAAAAAGTTGCTTTATCCATCAATAGTTAATATGCATTGAAGAGTATCTATTGCTCTCTCATGTTCTCAAAGCTTTATTTTTTTTCTTACGTTGGAGGTACATTTATGATTCTTTCTTAGAATTTTTAAAACTTCAATCGTTACCTAAAATGGAGTTAACGTTTAAATAAGAAGTTTAAGGCAGAAAATGGGAAATATTTGGGATCTATATCGTCCTCAGAAGCCTGAATCGCTTTGATCCTAGAAAGATCTTCAATACATCAGATCAATATGCTATTGACTTAAAACAATCGAATACTCTGAATAAAATTCTCGAGGTATATCATTTTGAGTTTCATTTTATTGTATTCCTTTAAAGCACTTATTTCATGGCAAGAGACCGATCCTTCGGCTACGAGCCATCTGAGCCTAGGAACGTCCAATGGTAGAATGGCTTCAGAGCCGGAACTCCTCAGCCTCGGAAGACAAGTTCGTGATATGACCTCCCTTGAAGAGGACGGAGATGAAACTGACTTCCCCGAGGACGTTGACATTCCAATTGACGAACAGATCGGGTCAAGTGACTCTGAGTCTATGAATGGGGCGGGAATGGCTCACAGTGGCTCAGATAATACAATTCCGCCTGGTTTTATAAAGGGTGGCCAATTGTTTCGGCAGGAGGAGGACTTTTCCCTGACTGGTGACATGTCATCCAGTCTGACGCACCCTGATGCCAGTAAGCCGGCCAGCTACAGTCTGCCGGAGATTTCCTACGGACCTCTACAGACTCCGAGTCAGACGACGGGTGGGTTCTCATTTTAATTAACCTCTCCTACTTTCATAGTAGTTTCCTTACAAAAATTAGGAGGCTAATAAGACGAACCGATACACTCTAAATATAGACTCGGATTAGTCTTAGTGACTAGGCCTAATATCTAATTACAAATTTATGTGCTTCTAATGCAGCTAATTTGAGAGTGATAGTTCATAGCTGGTCGGGTAGTGAGCGATGCACTGATATTCATTCTCTTTGCGTTTCTTAAAATAATTTGTTAAGCGTTCGCATTAAAATTTGAACTTTTATAAAGTAATTTCATTCAGAGTGGAATGTATTTTTCGCCCCAAGGGAGCCCAAACTAAGGTCGAAATTGAGGTCCTTTCTGGGTATAAACATATTTTCGAGGTATAAGGATCTGTAAAATTTCAACCTAAAATCCGTAATTGAGACTTAATTCTGCCATGATTTTTATTCTAAAAACGATTATCCAACAATTTAACTAAATTAAACTTATGTAGACAGTTTTAACTTCATCATTTGGAGAGAACAAAAAGCAAGTAATTGCGAAAAACAATTTTTTCCTGTGAACTCATGAATTGGCAAGTTCAAAATAAATATTTTCTTCTTGATTACCGACCTCAGTTGCCGCAACGGAGACAAAATACCATGTTACTATCCAGACTGGTGATGAAGTGAACGCTGGTACTATGTCGAATGTTTTTCTCCGACTAATCGGGCCCTTTGCAGAGACGAGTAACTACCGTCTGACGCCCGCTTCACCCAATGCCAAGCTATTTCAGCCAAATTCAAAAGAGGTCTTCATCATCCATTCGGCAGCGGAACTAGGAACTGTAAGTCAGAAATTATAAAATAATATGCTAATGAATCACACTTTGTTTTTCGACTTTAGATGCCTTAACTCCGAGAGCAGGGCTTTTGAACTTTGCGGCTGTTAGCTATAAGAAAAATTAACACAAATGATGCATGTAATATTCATATTAAAAATCGACATCTTTACGCTGTAACAGAGGTGATGTCGAAATTCTTGAATTATTTCAAGCGCAAAGATTAATTCGATGGTTTCTATGAGCTGATGTGCCCTGGTGAAACCTCGAATTTAATCTGCGGCACTTTTTATTTATTTTTCAAATACTACTGGTCAAAATAAATAAAGGCATTCGTTTGAATAAAATTGTGATGCTTGGCGAAGCCTCATCTATAGCCAGTATAACATTTTACCTAAGCGTTCCACTCATGCCATAGAACTGTCTCAGAGCAAAGCAATCGAGATGTAGTCGTGCAGGTTGAAATATGAAATGTGTAGATAAAAGTTTGTATTTAGGCCGACTGAAAAGGCAGCATGTTACAAAATAGTCTTTAGAAGCACAAAGTTTTTGTACTGCGGATAACGGCACCTTGAGTCGGCTTTTATTAAAAGTTTTTGCTTTTTTGGCAGGCTAATTGCACCCACACAAAAAAAACCGCGGTGCGGCACTCCAAGTTCTTAGCAAATAATTTCTAGCAATCATTAATGCTTTTGATGAGGTTTGAGAATATTTAGCTAATTGCAGATCCGTAGTCTATCACTTGCACGTTAATACTTACCTTTTCAGACTAAACTGCTGAAATGCCCTTCATTTTTTTAGAATATAAAGTAAATTTTTCTTTCTCATGTAGAAGAAAGTGGAAGCACTGCATTTCCTTTTTATTCAAGCCGCAATATAAAACAGTAGTCCGACAAATGATTTTGGAGGCTCATTTGATCATCTTCCAGCAAATATTGTGCAAAGTGAAGAATGGATAGTTCTAATATTTATCTTTCCAAATACATAATTACTTGAAAAAAGCTGAACTGTCCGAGTCTTGAGAGGGTCCAGCATCGCATGCCAAGGAAAACCAGTTGTACTGAAGAAGCGTTCTACATGTTGACCTCAAAAAATGCTAATTTTCGGACGTCAAATGGTTATTTATTGGTGAATATGATGATCTTTCGCAGGGTTTTTTCTTCTACAACAGCACAAGACCAGATTCGAACGCAATTTTTTTATTGTCTGATCTTGTGCTAGTGATTCTCAAAAGGGTTGCCCATCAGTAATGCGGGTTTAAATAACGTACACAATGCTTTGTTCAACATTATTTTAGCACTCATTATTTCTCACAATACTCTTAACCTTCTGCAGGTCGAGCGAATTATGCTATGGCATGACAAATCCGGAGAAGATCCCACCTGGCATGTGATAGAAGTCAAAGTGGTCGTTGATAAGCAACCATGGCAGGAATTAACCTTTAATGTCGACAAATGGCTCACGGAAGAAGAATCAAAATTGGAGCTGCAGTATCCAAGCATAAAGTATCTTTCGGAAATCGGTATGAACAGCTAGAAAAAGTTCAAATCCATGGATTTGAAGGATTTTTATCAATTATACTGTCTTCTTACGTTTGCAAGTCATGCCAGAAAGGCCTATACTCGAGCTTTTTCACACTTAAAGCTAATAAATAGGATAAAACAAACAATAAGCCTATAGGCACTCTTCCATTTCCCAGATAAAGTCGGGTCGAATATATGTTGATTTTTATTCAAGACTTTGATTGACTTTATCTTGGGCATAATACAGGAGAACTTAAGTGTATGGTGTCGTAACTTGGTCGAAGCAACAGAGAGACCTTGTGCAACGTACATAGTCTTATAGAAGTGGGTTGACCTCGTTGTCGCAACTAGGTCTAGTTGCCAGGGGGACTTAGTAGAAGGCACCTAGTCCGAAGTCGTCTGCCATAGTAGTTGTCATGATTCCCAGCATC